TGGAATTCAGTCTTTGATTTGATTTTATTTTTTTTAAGCAACACCGCCACATTGTATAGCCCAAACAAAAGTTGTACACTGGTTGGAGAAGGCTGTCGGCTTCCACCTCCAAGAGGGTGTTCACCCCCCAGATAACCATGTCACAGCATCACCCACCCTCGCCTTTATTCCATTCTCTGATAACTAACGGACTGTCTCAGACTCACTCGCCTCTGACCATTTCTCTGCCTCTCTCCACAGCTGACCCACAAGTGCTGAATGATTGTGATCTTAGAATCTCAATGTTGGAAAGTAGAACGCATGCACATAAACACACACACACACACATATTCACACACACACACTGACACCCCCACACACATACATACACACAGTCTACACACCCTAACTCGAACACTCCCCTACACACACCCCTACACACACGTAACTTAAACACACACCCCTATACACACACATGCTCACACACCCCTATACACACATAACTCAAAAACACCCCTACATATACACATACACTCCTTCACACACACACACACACCTACTCACACACATACATACCCCTATACACACATTCCCCTATACCACACACACACACACACACACACACACCTACACACATACACTCACACACACTCCACTTTCGTCCCTAATTTTCCAACTTGTCCTACTTCCCTATTTTTCGTTTGATTTTGTTTTTGTGCTAGCCCCAGTAGTGCTCAGGGCTCATTCCTGGCTCTGTGCTTGGGGATCACTCCTGGTGGAGCTCAGGACCCTATGGGGTGCCGGGATCGAACTCAGATCAGCCATGTGCAAGGCAAGTGCCCTCCCCACTATACTATCTCTCCGGCCCCATCTCTTGCTAACTTTTTTTTTGAGTTATGCTTTTTTTTTTTTTTAATGAATCACTGTGAGGTACAGTTACAGACTTACAAACTTTTGTGCTTCCATTTCAGCAAGATTTGGACTCTTCACATTCATCTGCCTAGACAAGCTACAGTGGCCTTTGGGTCCAGCCAGTGCCCGCCCTGGCCTCGCTCGCTGCCTCTCTGCAGCTCAGGTGAGGCGGGCCGCCTTTGTGGGGGTGAAGGCAGGCGTTGCCCTCAGGCCTGTCCATCCTCCTGGGAGGCCAGGAAGATCCTGTCCTTTCCTTGTTCCCAGGGGCAGGTCACCAGAGAGCTGGGGGGACTTTGGGAGGAGCGCAGAGCTGGCCCAGCCGGGGAGGACAAAGAGGGAGGATGGGGATCATGCACAGGGACACACCCTGGCAGGGGACGGGCCCGGGGCCAACCAGCCCCACCTGGGTGCAGAACAAAGGCCCCAGCTCCCCCGGCGGCGCCCTGGCACCAGGCCCCACGAACTCAAAAAGGCAGCCCGCACCCTGCCAGCAGCCAGTCCGGCCCGCTGCCCGGCCCTGCCCTGCCGCAGAATCGAAAGTGTTTCCCCACAGGCCCCCACAGTGATGCTGGGAGCTGGAGGCGGGAAGGAACATTGGGGAGCAGAAGCCTTGGCGGGGGGGGGGGGGGCCCTGGGTGATGGGCTGAGACCTGGGGCCGCTGGAGCTCCCTCTGCGAAGTGTGCCCTCTCCACCCTCCCCCTCCTTACTCCTCCCTCTCCCTGGGCCTGTCTGTCTGTCCCGCTCCGTGCAGAGCAACCCTGTCCCCCGCAAGTCCCCTGGAAGCCAAAGGAAACCTTCTTGGGTCTCACCAGCCCTGTAAGAAGAGCAGAGTCCAGGGGCCGGAGCAATAGCACAGTGGGGAGGGCGTTTGCCTTGCATGTGCCGACCTGGGTTCGAGTCCCAGCATCCCATATGGTCCCCTGAGCACTGACAGGAGTAATTCCTGAGTGCAGAGCCAGGAGTAAGCCCTGTGCATTGCCGGGTATGACCCAAAAAGCAAAAATACATAAATAAATAAGTAAATAAGAACAGCGGAGTCCAGAAACTTGAGCGGGTTCCGAGAAGGCATCTCTCCAATCCACGTTTGAGCTCTCCTGGCCATGTTTGAGCTCATCTCCTGCCAAGTGGCACCTTTGGCAGTGCCGGGACTCCAGAATCCTGGCCCTCGGGGAGGTGCCAGTTATGGGCAAGGCAGTCAGAAGGCACAGAGCTGGGGAAAGGGTACCGGGCAACAGGCCAGGCTATTAGGCTTCGGATGGCAAAAGATGGAAGACAGGAACAGGAGCAGAGAGGTGTCGTCAGGGTTCCCACTGGCTCCGGGCTGGCCCCCCATGTCGTATCTCCCAGGAGGCTCTGGACCCAGGCTCCAGGCTCCACGTGCTTTTTTTTTTCTTTTTGGGTCACACCTGGCGATGCTCAGGGGTTACTCCTGGCTCGTGCACTCAGGAATTACTCCTGGCGGTGCTCGGGGGATCATATGGGATGCTGGGAATCAAACCTGGGTCGGCCATGTTGGCTGCGTGCAAGGCAAATGCCCTACCCGCTGTGCTATCGCTCCAGCCCCTCCACGTGCTTTATGGGCTCTCCATTCTGGCCTTTGGAACCAAACCTGCAGGCCGGTTCCAGGCCCCAGCAGCTCGCAGTTCTTACGTGAAAGTTCTGGGTTTTGAGCGCTAGGCTGTGGGTTGGGGGTTGCGGGGATCCAGGCTCTGTGCTCTGGGTGGCCCCCCAGCCCCTCCTGGGTGGGAGGCCGTAGGGGGCAGGCGCTGTGTGCCAGCCTGCAAGCAGGACCATGGGCAGAGACGGCAGCGTGACCGCTTTCTGCCGAGGACACAAGCCCGCTCCCAGGTGAAGTGAGCTGAGAGGCAGAGGCTAGTCTAGAACTGAGCCTGGTGCCAGGGAGGGGTCCCCAGAGACGCACGTGTGTACACCTGCACGCATGCTTATAGAGACCCACAATCCTCAGTCCCTAGCTGGGCACAGACCAGAAGGATGGTCCTGGCCCTCCGGGAGGTCCCAGTTGTAGGCGAGGCAGTCAGAAGGCACGGAGCTGGGGAAAGGGTACCGGGCAACAGGCCAGGCTATTAGGGTTCGGATGGCAAGTGCTTTACCTCTGTTGGGTCAAAGTCTCCCCTCTGCAGCGGAAGGAGGGGAGAGACTGGCACCCCAAGGCCAGCAGTAACCTGAGCTCCGAGTGCAGAGACGAGCCCCTGGGCTGCCTTAATAGCCAAGAGGATAAGGCACTGGCCTCTGTGGGACATTTGCCTCGTCAGCCTCAAGTGAGGGTCCTGCCAGCCAATGCCAGCGGCCTAAGGCAAGAAGTGGGAAAGTGACACCAGGGCGGTCAAGGAGTAAAGAGGCTGCCCATCAGAAATCCTTGTCCTTGGATGGACTGGAGCAATAGCACAGTGGGTAGGGCATTTGCCTTGCACACAGCCAACCAGGGTTCGATTCCCAGCATCCCATATGGTCCCCTGAGCACCACCAGGAGTAACTCCTGAGTGCAGACCCAGGAGTAACCCCTGTGTATCCTGTGTATTGCCAGGTGTGACCCCCCCCCAAAAAAAAAAACAACTACAGAAATTCTTGTCCTTGGAGACTCAGCTGACCGGAGAGGGCAGGTGAGCACTAGTGAGGGGTGCATGGCTAGAATGGTTTGAAATTAGAGATGGAGGGGTCGCAGGGGTGGGGGATGCCAATGGAGGGTCTGCAGGGGGTTGGACCTCTTGGTGAACAGGGGCCAGAGGCAGGACGTGTCCTTAGCCACTGATTGGGCACATGGAAGACGAGACAGTGGTGAGAGTGTGTGGTGCTGCCCTCCTAACTGACAGCGCGAGTCTGCAGGGGCCTCCGAGATCCTGGGTATGTGACCTTCCGGGGCTCAGAGAGGAAGAGGGTCCAAGAACTTATCAGAGGCAGAGGGGCTGTGGGCACAGAGAGATGACAGAGGAGGTTGGTGAGCTGTGCTCTGAGAATCAGGGGGACCAGGGGCTCTGGCTGTTGGGATCTTGAGAGAAGATTAATGGGGAACACTGTGGAACTTGATGGCCAGCGCTGACCCCGAGTCACCATGGCCACCCTAATAGTCACACTTTGATAGTAAAATGATTTGATGTCAGGGACATTGGTCATAAGGCCATTGGACTTTGTTGATCAGAGATATTGGTGACTGGGGACAAGCGATCAAAGACTTAGGGTGCTCACATCTGAGCGATCAGCTCTTCCATATTGATTGGAAGAACATTGATCACACACATTGAGGAGTCTACTACTTTTTGACCTGAGACGGTGGCAACAGTGCATGGGCCATCAACATTGGCACACACGACCTTAGTCGGCGAGAGGCACTTGCAATCACGAATGTGGTCAATAGCAATATTAGGAAAACAGACCCCGGTCAGCCTGATATCCAGCGAGTGCACTGTGAGGATCGGGAGTGCCACCAACTTTGGCCATCGGGAACTGAAGAGATGAGCCAGCAGTCAGCAATAGTGGACGCCACAGAGCTCGATGGCCAGCGATGGCCCAGTGGTGGCCAGCAGCACAAACCAATCAGAAACAGTGGTGACAAACTATCATCAGACCCTGGGAAGCAAAGACAGTCTCTGGAGACGGGTAATCCCACTCTTCAAACAGAAGCATGGGTGAAATATTGGTGATCAGTCTGGGTGATGGGTTACTAGTGATGATGACCAGCTCTCAGGAGCAGACATGACTTGGATCAGACGCAATAACCAATGACAACAGTTATCAGAGACGTTGGGGATCGGGTCTGTTCACCGACAAAGAATATTAGTCATCAGGGAACTCGAAACAAATGTCTCCATCCAGCTTAGGCAAAGAGATGGGATTGGTGTATGTGTGTGTGTGTGTGGGGGGTCTTTGTGGGTTTCTGCAAGACCCACACCTGAGCGGGGACCAAGGGGGAGAAACGATGCTCTGTCCCGGCAGCAGCAGACACCAGAAAGAAAATTAGGGTGGGGGGGAGTAGACAGGGCCCCGGCCCCCCATTCCCCACCCATCTGAGCCTGGCCCCGCCCCAGTGACGAGAGCATCCCCCAGGACCCCGCAGGCCCAGAGCCCACAAGACAGGCCAGAGGCATTCACAAAAAGTATTTTATTACTCTTAACAGTATTCACTTTAAAGGAATAGGAGGATAGCATACAATTTTTACAGACAATATATAAATGTTGTACATAATTAACAATAACTTAGTTCACTAATCCAAAATAAAACAAGCCCAATAAAACATAAGAACAGAAAATACTGCCGATTCTTTCTCTCAGGCGGATACGAGTACAAAATAAGTTACTTCCGGCTGTGGGGCCCCTGTGGCAATCCCCTGCCACTATTGCACTTGGTCGATCACCTCGGCACAAGCCTCTGCCGGGCCGCAGCCTCCACCACCGCACACGGCATCTCAGGTCGGACACGGTTATATACAGCTGTACCTTGGGGAGGGTCCAGCCGGCCAACAGCCAAGCCGAGTAGGGCAGAACCCAGGCGTCTGCCGGGGGACCCCCATGGGACCGTGGCCTCTCCCACCCCCAGCTCTCGCGTCACCACCCGCCTGACTGGCCCCCCCAGGAAGCCGAGAGCAGCCACACCTCTCCCCTGGCCCCAGCGCCCCCTTCCAGGGCCGCGGGATCCAAGAACTTCTCCAAAAGACAGCCTCGGTTTGTAGGTTTTATTCCTTTCCAGAGCATGGGCTTCGGTGGCAAAGTACAACGGACTGGACCCCAAAATGAGTTGAAAAATAAAACGATTAACTCATCAGAGTTAAAAGCTTATGCAGTTTTCTTTCTTTCTTTTTTTAAATATTTTTTTCTTCCTTTTGTCTCAGAATGAGAAGGGAGAAGGTGGAGGGGGGTGTCTCAGAAAAAGGCTCTATGTACAGGGGCGCGGAGGGGCCAGGTGGAGCTGTGGCTGCGGCAGGAAGACAGGTTCCAGCAGCCTCCGTCGCGGGGCTGGGGAGCACGTGGGGAGACGTGTTCCCCCCCCACACACACCTCAAGAAACTCATTTCCTTCCTGTGACCCAGCCCTAGCCTGGAGAGCTGCACAGCTCGGCCCGTGATTGTCTCTGCCCTGGGGGCCCTGAGGCTGGGCACACAGGCTCAGGCTCAGACTCCCCGGGGACTCCCGTGGCCCTCCATGCAGCCCAGCCTGGGATGCAGCTATTTCAGAGGGGGGAGCCAGAGGAGAGGGTGCGGGGCAGCAGACGTGGCCCCAGAGCCTGGCAGGTGCACAGGCTGACCGGGCAGCACTGGGCGCAGAGGAAGGAGCCGCAGGATGGGGGAGTGGGGGAGTCGGGGGTGTTGAGGGGGGCGCAGGCAGCTCGGAATTCCCACGACTCCCGGTTCTGGGCAGACACCAGAGCAAAATGAATTCTTTCTGCCTCTTCCATTTCTTCCTCCAAACGGATTCCGCCTTTGCCGGCCCCTCACCTCCTCGCTCACAACCTGGTCCTTTCTGTTTCCCCCCACGGGGGTCCACAGCCAGGGCCCCTCCCAGCCCCGGGGACGAGCTTCACAGTGGCAGCCAATGGCGGAGTTGGGTGCCCACGGGCCAGGCGAGTGGGCTCCACGGGCGGTGAGGAGTGGCATCAGTCTTCGGGGAGGGGGAAGCCGGGCAGCAGAGGGTCTGTCCACCCATCCTGCACACCGCCGGCGTCTGGGAGTGGTGCCGGCCGCCCTCCGAGGCATCCATCTAGTCTCCGTCTGGTTGGTGGGGGTGGGGGTCCCTAGCCCATGGCGGTCACCATGCTGGAGGGGTGGGGGTGACCAAAGGAGAGGCTAGAGGAGGGGTGGATGGGCGTCGGGGTGGGCAAGATGTGTCCGGAGTGGCTGAAAGGCGGCAGGTGGCCCACGGGGGCCATGTGTCCGGCCAGGGCGGCTGCGCTGAAGGGGGCCGACTTGTCCTGCATGCACTTGGATAGCTCCTCGAAGCACTCGCTGCCCTTCTTGCTCTTCTTGGACTTGTTGGACATCTTCCGGTTCCGGGTCTGGATGCCCTCCTTCTTCATGGTCAGCGGCCTGTTCACCTGGGGGGGGGGGGGTCGCAGGGGAGAGAGGGCAATGGCCATACCTCAGGGGGGTCCCATTCCCTGAACCGTACAACCCCCCCTTCCCGCATCCACATGGCGCCCAATCTGGCTTGGGGCAGGGCAGGTCAGCGCTGGGAATGTCCGCGCGCCCGCCCTCCCAGGCAGGCTTGGCCGGCCTTTGGGACGGGAAGGGCGCCTCTCATTGTGTGGGGCTCGCTCCACTCGCACCCTGCGGGGCCAGTGCTGCCCAGCTCTGGGCGTCTCCCCAAGCCCCCGCCCCAGACTGTGGCTTTGGAGGGAGCGGCCGCCCGAGTGGGGGTGGCGGAGTGGGGGGTGGGGAGGCAGTCTGCCTCCAGCCCAGCCTGGCCCCTCTTCTGGGAACCCCTCTGGCGCCCGGCAGCAGCTTTGCCAAGCCAAGCCAAGCCAAGCGGCCGGCCTGGCTGGGGGCCGGTCCTGGCCGCACAAAGCACCGCGGCCCCCGGGGAGGGGTGAGGCGGGCGGGGCGGGGCCACTCACATTGTGCAGCTTGTAGTAGAGGCCGCAGGCGTTGCACACGGGGTCCCCGTTGGCGTTCCGGCGCCATAAGGTGGTGGTTGTCGTCTGACAATTTGCACAACAGGTGCCGGCTCTCCTGGCGGCCGACTGGGAGAGAGAGAGGGGCGGGCGGCGTCAGCGGGGCAGGCTCCCACGCCCCGACCAGGCGCGGAGAGACGCTGGGAGCCATGGAATTCTAGAACCCGAGGCCTCCACAGCTTCAGAATTAAGAACTCTCTGGGGGGCCGCGCTCGGAAGCAGGGCAGCCAGAGGGCAGCGGGGGAGACTGGCAGGGGGAAGCGAGTCCTGCCGCCGCCCACCCGCCTGGGCTCACAGATGGGGAAACTGAGGCCCCCGAGAAGGACGCCGTTGTCTAAAAGGCTCACTCAGTATCCCCCTGGAGCCCCTGGCTTGGAAACTGCTTTTCCTGTCTTCTCCCATAAAACTACCCTCAAAACCCCAGGACTTTGGGGGAGGGGCAGCACCCAGCGGACCCCCGCGAAGGCCCCTTAGAACAAAGTGCCCAGTGCCGGGATGGAAAAACGTTTCAGGAGTCTGGAGGCTCCGCTGTCCAAGACGGTAGCCCCTAGCCGCATGTGGCTATTTAAATGAAATTGAGCCGTAATTGAATCAAGTTATGGACTCAGATTCGGGGGGCCTTCCAAACTGCACCAACGGGCTTCCAGGGTGGGCACGGCAGACCCCTTATCCCAGGCAGGACAGGGCCGGTCTGTCGGTCCCACCCTGTGTCCCCCAGAGTTCTAGTGGCCCCCCAGCCCTTAGGGAATGCAGGGCAGAGGTGATCTGGAAATGAGCGTCTGGTTCCTGGAGAGAGGAATGAACCCACCCCACAGGGCCGGCACGGAAACCCCCAAAGCAGACTGTCCCTCAGTCCAGCCCCCTGAAGCAACAGACTGATCCCCCCCACACACACACACTTCCCAGAGGTCAGAGAGTTGGGGGTGGGGGGCCAGCAAGGCTGGAATGGCCCCAGGCCCAAGCAGCTACAGGGGCGGGGAGGGGTGAGGGTGAGTAAGCCGGCCCGAGGCTGGAATTCTGACTCAGGGGCCAACATCGCATCCTCCACCCCTACCCCCACCCGGGGCCCTCACCCCACCCTCGCTCCAGGAAAAAAAAGGGGGGGGAGGGCCGAGGGGAGGGCGGAGGGGAAGGGGCAAACCGGGCAGCCACTTAAGCCTCGTAAATCACTTCGCCCTGAAAAAATATATTTATTATTCTTAGCATTTTACGCATTATTTGCAGAGCGGAGGGTATTAGAATTTTCAAAACAGCCCAGCGAGAGGCAGGACCGAGCGGGAGACTCTCCAAACTCGCGGAGTCCGGAAACAGAGACGCGGAGTTTCCTTATCGCGGCCTGCAGATGTCCGGATAGGAAGCCGCGCAGGAGACCCGAAAGGGCATTTTTTTAAAATCACTCAAATGAAAATACACAGTATAGGTGACTCCATGGAAAAATAATAAAGAGCAGGTTTTTTCTTTCTTTTTCTTTTTTTTTGGGGGGGTGCTGGTGTGTGTGTGTGTGTGTGTGTGTGTGTGTGTGTGTGTGAGTGTGTGTGTGTGTTTATTTAAATCAGCAGGAGGAGACTGGGTTGGGAGCGGGAGAGCCCGGCCCTGAGCTCCCAGGGAAAATTACTTCATGGCCTGAATTTTTTTTTTTAAAGGGGGAGTTAAACAGAGGCCAAGGGACAGGCAGGCCCTGGGACAGTCCCCATCGCTGAGAATCCGGAGGGAGAGGGCGGGGTGAGGGGGTACCTGGCGGGGGCTAAGGAGGAGGAAGTCCACCACCAGGCCTGGGGGTGGGGGGTGGGGCGGAGGGTCGGCCTGAGAGATGGGCGACCCCAACTGACATCCAAGTGATTTTCATGATAAAAGAGGCAGAGCTGTTAGGACCGCTGCTGAGTGGGCAGGGGGCTGCCATGATTTCAGCTCGTGCTGGAATTGGCGGAGGGGTCCAGTCCCAGTGAGTGGCTGCAGGGGGCCCCCCCTGGCACCTGCCTCCCGCCCACCCACCCACCGGCCGCGACCTACCAGTCTCCGCTTGGGCTTGATGAGCGGCCGGTTCTGCCCGTTCATCTTGTGGTAGAGTCCGCAGGCATTGCACAGGTAGTGGCCGGTGCCGTCCCGCCGCCAGAGAGGGGTGGCCGTGGCTCCGCAGTTGACACACTCCCGGCCCTCTGGAAGGGGACAGGGGGAAACACCAGGTCAGCTGAGCCCACAAGGTCAGGGGCAGGAGCCCTGGTGGGAAGGACCGACGGGGGCAGAGCTAGTCCTGGGCTCCCGCTGGGCTGAGTCTATATTCGAGAAGGATCTGATTGGGGTGGAGGGGTAGTCCTGGTAGGAAAAGGGGGTTCTGAGATGAGTAGGTTAAGGCCACATCCCCTCCGACATCCTCAGAAGGAAGGAAAGCAGGGCTGGAGAAAGGAGAGGGGCCAGGGTCCCCAGGAGGCTCTGACCAGGGTAAGGTTATTTACAGCAAACTTTGCCAGCGGCAGGACTGGAGTTACCCGGCCGGACCTGGTTGGGCCTGGGGACACCAGGGCCCCTCTTCTACCACCCTCCCGCACGCTGCCCAACTAGGCTGCCCTCTCCCCCCTCAATCCTGGTGCCTTCTTTCTGCCCAACCCTGGGCAATTTCCTTCTTCCACACCCCCCCATAAGCCCCCAATACACATACACACACCCACACACACACGCACATGCACACTGCCGAGTCCTGGACTCAGATTGACGTTGTCCTTTAAAATTAAACGCGAGCCTTTCGTTTTTTGAGACTAAGTAGACGAAATGGCCCTGTTTTCGCAGCGGGCTGGGGGAGTGCTTTGTTTGGTCATTGTTGTGGCTTAAAGACCATCTGGAATTCAAATAGAATGGAAAACCAACAAACCAGGAGAAGGCACCGCACAGAGAGAGCGAGCAAGCCAGCGGGGGACCTGGAGCAGGGTGGGGTGGGGTGGGGAGCCCCAAGGAGGGAGCTCAGGGCGGTGGGGCCACTCACTGCTGGGCACTGGAGTGGGGAGTCCTGAGGAGGGAGTTCGGGGCGATGGGGCCACTCACTGCTGGGCGCTACCTCAGTTAGACATCTTGTTACCCTGGAAATTCTTCCCGTTTAGTTCAAACCCATTTAAATTGTCAGTATCTCCCAGCAAGGGGAGGCGGCCCCTGGGCTCGGAGCGTAAGTTTTTGAAAGCGTCGATGGTGAGCATGTGGCACGCCATCGGGCAGATTTGGGGGAGCAGCCCAGCCTCACCCCTGCCCACTCACAGCGGGTGAAGGGCAGAAGGCTTCTGGATCCCTCTGGGATTTAGCCCTCGGGGAGGGAGCGGGAAGGACGGGCCAGGGGGCGGGGAGTGGTAGCCGGTCCCGGGAGGTCGCAGGGGGCGGAGGGGCATCTCCCAAGGAGGTGTGGAGTGACCACACTCCCAGGACCGGACTGCAGAGTGGGAGAACCAGATTCCGGAGGGTCGGCTGCCTCGGCGGCGCCCGCCCGCAGCACGCGCACTCTCCAAAGCACACGTCCGCACACCTACATGCGACCCCCGCCCCCTCACCCGCCCTGCCGCCTCCCCTCACGGGCTAAGGTGGGACGGGATTGGAATTCTCGCTTCGTTTGGGATTCAGGGAGGGGACGGGGTGGGGGAATTTCTAGTCTGTTCTCTATTCTCTGGCCAGGGCCGGCCTTGGAGGGGAAGAACGGGATCAGGGAAGGCCACCCAAAGTTGGGGACCCCCTCAACACGTTGGGAGAAAAACTTTGAGCGGGAAAAGCAGAGTTTTTCATTCCCCTCTCTGCCACGCAGGCCGTTGGAGGAGAGAGGGCATCAGCCAGCCCCAGACGTAGGAGACCAACCACCGGGCGCCCTCTCCCTTACCTGAGACCCCTGAGAACCACCACCATCCCCCTCCCCTCCACGGGGGGGGGGGGAGGGGGGGTCTTACCTGAACAGGAACGTGCTTTGCTCCGTTGCTTGGGGGTGAAGCTGGAGGTGGGGCCCCCCAGGAAGCCTCCGGGGTGAAAGAGCCCTCCGCTGTAGTCGTGAGCGGCGGGTACGTAGGACGGGTACGTGGGGATGGGGTGATGCGTGGCCGGCTGCGTGCCCATGGCTGCCAGGCCGGGTCGCAGGGGGCTCCCGCTCTCCAGCTTCATGCTCTCCGTCAGTGACACTTGGTACTTGACGCCATCCTTGTCCTCCCCGCGGGCCACGCTCCCCCCGGCGGACGAGGAGGCAGGGGAGGCCGCCCCGGTGGTGCTGGGGTCAGGGGACACTTCCTTGGGTGGCGTGGGTGGGAAGCCGAAGAGATGAGAGCCGGAGTGGGCGGCCGTGGGGGTGAGGGAGGCCACGGAGCTCCCGCTGCCTCCCCCAGTCCCACCACCAGCCCCGGGGTACACGGAGAGGGGGCCAGCGGGGCCGCCTGCAGCCGAGGGGTGCAGCGGTGTCTTGGAGAAGGGGCTCACGGTCCAGGGGTTGTGGTGGTGAGCTGCGGCCGAGAGGGCGGCTTTGCCACCATCCAGCCAGGGCAGGCCCGGGCTGTGCAACAAGTGTGGCCGGCACATCTGGCCCCCGGTCAGGCGCGCTGTGGAAGAGGGGAGGTCGGGGGTGAGCAGAGGCCCAGAGGCGGAGGGTCACCGACGTCTCCTAACCACCACCCTCCTCGGACTCCCCCAAGAAAACCAGAAACGTAACACCCCAAGCGGCGATAATCAGGAATGTCGGTCCCGGGTGGAAGGACAACCTGGAGGGAACCCACCAGGCCAGGCCAGCAGAGAGCCTGCGGGGGAGCGCGGACCCCCTTGGAAGACGCGGCGCTGCCCCCACCTTCCTGCGCCCGGGCTGGCGGCTCCCGTTCCTGCGGATCTCACATCCGGGAAGCAGGCGGCAGCCGCCGCCGGGCCCTCCTCCCCTCCTGGGCCGCGCGCAGGGCCAGGCGGCCGGGCTCCCGCGGCCCCCCGGGGCCGGCTCACCGTGCGCGGGGCTGTAGGAGACGCGCGCCCGCGCGTGGGCCGGGTTGGCGTAGTACGGGTTGCCCTGGGAGTCGAGATGGTTGAAGAAGACGTCCACCTCGTCGGGGGGCAGCAGCTGCGCCGGCTCCATGTAGTTGTGCGCCAGGCCCGGGTGGTGCGAGTCAGGGTGCTGCGCGTTGAGCACGGCCGGGTGCGCCATCCAGCGCGGCTGCTCGGGCGCCACCTCCATGGCCGGCGGCGGAGACTCCGGATCTGGGTGGAGGTGGCGGCGGCCCTGCGCGATGGAAGCGGGGGAGGGATGGGATGGGGGAGGTTGGCGTGGAAGGGCGCCGCCGCCGCCGCCGCCGCCGGGTGTCCCCCACCACCACCACCACCACGTCCGACGACAACCCCCAGGTCCCGCCACGCGCCCCCATCCCCCGCCTGCGCCCTAGCCGAGTTCAGCTGCGGGCGCGCCCGTCCCGGGTGGGAGGAAAGCGCCAGGCTCAAAGCGAAAGAGAAGTAAGGGGCGAGGGCGCATCCACGCACCCTCACGTGGCGACCCCCGCCCCGGGCCACACCCGGGGACCGGCCCGGACGTCGAGCGTCCCCCCACCCCGCCCCGCACACCGCGACACCGCTGCGACGCGGGGATCCGCTCGCGCCGAGCCCCCACCCTCCCGCGACGCGGAACACAGAAACACAGACGCAAAAGTTGGAGGCGGGCGCCCCCCGCACCCACGGAGCGAGGCACGCGCTGGTCACAACTTGCACGGACACTCGGTGCCAGGCGCACCTCCGCGACCTCGCCCCCCGAGACGCGCGCACGCAGCCCCACCCGCCCGGCGCCGGCCTCCCCGAGCGCACTGCCCCGAGCCGCTCCTCCGGGCACCCCAGGGCGGTCCCCCGCCGCCGCCCAGTGCCCCGACCCCGGCCCCACGCAGATCTCCCGGGGCTGGGTGCGACCAGCCCCCCCCCCGCCCTCCAGGCTCCCGCTGCCCCAAACTTACACGCAGCGCCGCGGCGACTGCGGGGGGACGCGGCCTCGGGCGGGGCGCGGCGGCAGCGCTAGCCCCGGGCTGCGGGGCTCACGCGGCGGGAGCGGGGGGCAGCGCGCGCCTCGGCCTCAGGCCCGCCGGGCTCCGGCCCCTCGGCATCCTCCGGCCGCCCTGGCGCCAGCTCGCGACTCCTGCACAGACATGAAGCGGGGGCCGCGCACGCCTAAGAAGCCCGCGCCAGCCAATCAGCGCCGCGCGCCGCCCAGCCTCCGCCCCCCATTGGCTGCGCCCGCAACTCCAGGCCCGCTGGACTCCCGGACTGACCCGCGGGCCTGCCCCCCTCGGCGGGCGGGCCCCCTCCCAGCGCCCTCCCGGCGGCCCCTGCTGCCAGGAGCCCCCCGCCCCCCGGACCCACCCCACCCCACCCCCCGTGGGCCCTCCGCTGCGTCCCCTCTCGCGTCCCCCTCACCTCTGAGCCCGGCTCCCAGGGACTAGCCTTGAACTGGGACTGCCTCTCCAGGAGGAGCCCAGGCCGGGAACCCCCGGGGGTCTTCCCCCTCCGACCCCTGCTTGTTCACGCTCGGGGATCCCACCTCCTGTCCCCCACCCCGGAGCGTGGCACGTCGCAGTCCCACTACCTACCCTCGCCGCGCGCAGCCCCAGCTCGGATCCTGGGCTGAGCGTGCGAGGGGAGGACGGCCGGGGGGTGGTGGGAGCCACGAAGGACAGGGACCCGGGGCCCTCAGTGGGCACCTGGGCCGGGACACAGGGCCGCTTACGACTGTGCTGGACCGGCTGGAGGTGGCCTGGCCAGAGGTGGCGGCTCCAGAGGGGGGGAGGGGGCGTCCCCTTCCCGGGCGTGGCCTCCGCAGACCAACGGGCCGAACTGCCTGGGGCGAGGCCGTGGAGACCCGGACTGGCGCCGGCGCCGGCTCGAAGGAGACGCCTGGGGCAGGAGAAGGAATTTTTCTTCCCTCTGGGGGGGTCCCTAAGTCTCGGGGAGGGGGGAGGAGGTGGTGGTCGGAGAACTCCGGCCTCTAGGTCACCTGGAACCGCTGCGCACAGACGCGCAGTGCAGGGGTGCAGCTCTGCACCCCGAGGCCCTGGGGCACCACCTCCCTCACCGTCGCCCGTCGTACAGACGACGCCGGAGAGCCAGGTTCCCAGCAAGCCCGAGGCCGAGGACCGGGGGGTCGGAAGCAGAAAACGGGGGGTGGGGGGCGGTGGTAGCTGAGACAGGTGCGGGGGGCCACGGGGAGGCATCAGCGACCGGTAGACCCCCGCCCCTCACCGGGCCCACAGCGCTCTCCCGAGCAGCCCCGAGGGATCCCAGGTGGGTCCGGGGTCGGGGAGCGGGTGGGGGTCCGGGCCACCCCCCGGGAGGTGGGGGGAGGGGCGCCGGGATTGACAGTCGGTAATTGGGTAACTGGAGGCGGCTTCTCCTGCCGGGCGGCCCCGCCACCGCGACGCCGGGCCCCTGACGTCACCCGATTCGCCAGGAAATGAACTTTTTAATAATCCGAGGAGGGAGGAAAGCCCTCGGTCCCCTCGGCTCCGGGGGCGCCCGGCCAAGCTCCGCTCCGCGGGCGCGCCCCCGGCACCCCGTCCCGGGCCAACGCCGAGCAGCGCCCCCGGGGCGCGGGGCCGGGCCGGGGCTTCCTGCCGCGTCTGCGTCCGGAGGTCCGAGCGTCCGTCCGTCCGAGGCCCGGGCTCAGGTAGAGGCGCGGGGCCCGGGCCAGAGCAGAGGGCCTCGTCCGGCCGGGACCCCGCGCGTCCCGGCGCCGCAGGGCTGCGCTCGGCTGCGGCGCGCGGGGCCGGGCCTGGCGGAGCGCGGCGCGGCGGGAGAGGAGGCCGGCGTCCGCCCGGGACGGCGCGCCCGAGCCGGCGGCAGCAGCGGGAGCCCGGGGCGCGGGCCTCGGCGGCCGAGCAGGCAGGTGAGCTGCGTCCGGGCCTCGGGGTTCGCGCTCCCCGCCGCGCGCGGGGCGGGCCGGGATCCCCGCGGCTTTAGCTTAAGATTCATCGGCGCATAAACGGGGGGATCGCGGCGGAACCTCGCGTCTGGATTTTTTTCTCGTTCTTTCTTTTTTTATTTTATATTTTTTTCTTCTTGTTTTTTTTTTTTTTTGGTGCGTCTCGGGAACTTAAATGGGAACCTCCCCAGCCCCCGCGGTCCGGCCAGTCTGTCCCGTGCGAGGTTCCACCCCGGGCCCCAGAGCCCGAGTTGCCGCAGGCCCGCGGGGCGCCCGTGGGATCGTGAACGCTGGAGCCAAGACCAGGCTTCTCTTTCCGGGCCGCCATCGGCCTCGGCTCACCGGGAGGTGACCGCTCGGTGCCCTCCAGGAAGCAGGTAATTCGCCTCCTCACCACCCACCCCAAGAAGACGCAGTTAAAATGATACCCCCACAACACACACCCAGTTCTGGGCGGGTCTGCAGCTTCGTCGCCGCCAGCTCTGCTCCTGGGCAGCCGATTTCCTCCGGGCAGCGTCCTGGCCGGAGCTGGGGTGGAAATCACCGGATCGAGCCCGGGGCCGGGTGGGGGGGGCGGTGAGGTGGGGGTGGCCTGCGCTGCCCACCGGCCCCGGTGCGCAGCAGAGCGCGGGCGGGAATTTAATGAGCTGGCTCGCCGGCTCAGAAAATCGCCGCTCCGAAGAGCTTAGCAGGGCAGTTAAGCAATGCTTAAGCCGGGGCCTCGGGAGACCCGCACCCGCCGCCTCCCCGCAGTCCTGTCTGGGATGTGAAAGGGAAGCGGGGAGCTCGGCCTGTTCTCTGGATGCCCTCTGGGTCGCTTCCTCCACCTGGCTGGCCCACAGCAGGCTGCGCCGGGCCTTCACAAGGGTTGTAGTTTCCTGCGTTGGACGCGGGACTGCTCTGTTCTCCCGCAGGAACTAACCAACCTGCAGGGACGTCAGGGCGGCAGGCAGCAGAGCGCCCAGCTGGCTAATAAAGCAATCCCCACCCTAGTCTTCAGTGTCTGTGTTTGCCAGAACCCAGGACACTGGCTGGGAGCCTCACGCACTGGGCAGCAGGGACCGTCCACTGCCATCTCTGCTCCAACAGACTGTTGGAGATTGCTCAGATCACTCCAGTATCACTGGGGCCTAAGAGGAGGGGGGCACCAGGGTGCTGAAGGAGAACAAATTTATGCCAGCATAAGGTCTTGGCTTGGGGGGGTCTCGAAAACACCTTGGGGAGAGCCTTGGTCCCCTCCCCATTGTGTCCCTTCCCAGGGGCTGTTGAGAAGCTGTCACTGTTCCTGACCCAGGAGGTGGGTTTCTTAGTGGGACAGAGAGAGGGCCAGCCACAGTGAAACTGAATTTTCTAACAAATTTCCAAACGAGCCGTGATTCCTCACTGAGAGTGCCACGCACTGGGCTTGGGGTGTTTCCACAGGGATCCTCCCTCCCTCTCTTAGGCCCAGGCTGGGCTTTCAGCTGCCTGGTCTTCAGCGTCCCCCAGAGTCCTTCCTGGAGTGCCCTTTGTTTAAACTTCGATCATCAGAGCCAGGCCTTGGGGACCATAAGTTTGTCCCCTCTTGGTGACCTAATTCTTCTCACCTTTTCCCATGGGCATCTAATTGGCCCATCCACAGGGCATGTGTTGGGGAGTGTGGAGGCGGGGATCTGCTAAGATCCGTTTGCTGAGAGATTGCCTTCCACGGGATGTTTAATTCATAATCAATAGAGTGGCCTCTTAGGCCCCAAAACTGCCCTCAAGAGTGCCCTGAATGGGGCTAGGGAGAAAGTGAGGGCTGCTTGAGCCAGGGGTGGGGTCAGAAGTGCCCTCCAGGAAAAGGCCTCAAATAGGGTCAGGCAGAGGCAACTGTCCCTCCAGAAAGAGGGGTCCCCTGTGGTCCACGGGGTTTCTGTAGCCTTTCCTGCGCTTTGGAATGTCCTGTGAGCTTCCCCAAACCAAATCTCGAGGCTCCTGTGTATGTCTGGGCCTCTCCAAACGCTAAAGTCACTAGTCTGAGAAGGGCGCCAGGGCTCCGGCGGCCCCTGGGGGGCAGGTCCGCGCCCCGGGGCTCACCCCAGCTCTAAGGCCCACAGCCTCCTTCGGGTCCAGCCTGAGACCTGTGCACCGCGGCCCAGTTTTCCCTCCAGGGACAGCCACGGTTTAACCGAGAGCACCCGGCGGCCCGCGGCGTGAAAACTGCTAAATCCGTTTCGTTAGACGCAATTTGTTTGCAATTTGTCAACCCGCCTGGGAGACGCTCTCCAGACGCCCAGGCTGGCCGCATCGGCCCTACCTGCGTCTCGAATCTGGCCTGCGCACAAACGAATCCCTGCGCGGGAGGGCCCGCGTAGACCCGGAGCTCGCCGCCAGAGTTTCCCCACCCGGGAAAGAAGCGGCCTTTTCCAAAACAACGAATTTCCTCCCGTCTTTTCCGGAAAAGGCGCGGCCGGCGCCCCCGGAGGCCCCCGAACGCCTGCCCTTTCCCTTCGCAGCGGGGACAACCTGAAGTTCAAGCCCGGCCGCGGCTAAAGGCTTCTGAATGCCCGGACGTCCAGACGGACCCAGACCGCGCCGACGCCTCCCCGCGGCCGGCGCAAGCCCGCGCCCCTGGTGACGGCCTCATTCGTATTGAAATCCCAGTAAACGGATTGCGACTTGGGGCTGGGGGGGGGGCGGGGGCGCGGGGTTGGTGGGGGCTTCCAGACCCGCCGCTTTCCCCCACCCGCACCCCAGTCTCTTAGGATAAAGGGCCGCGGGGCGCGGCGCGCAGGGGCGCACGCAGGAGCGAGCCGGGTTAAGCCGCGCAAAGCCGGCGCACGGGACCAGCCGGCAGGTGCAGCCGCCGCCGGCCCGGCTCGGGCGCATCCGCCGCGGCCCCGAGATGGGGGCGCCCGGAACAAAGGCCCCAGCTCTGGGGGTTGGGGAGGGAGCCGCGAGAAGGGACGTGCGGCGGCGCCCTGGGAATACCCGGGACCTATAGGCTTCGGCCCAGGAAGGAAGCCGGGAGCCCCCCATTCTCCAATGCGCCCCCTCCAATCGAGGCCCAGGGATGCGGGGGTTCCAGTCCTCGGCTAGGCCCGTGCGAGCACCGAAGGTCACAAATCAGAGGCGACAGGGCCCGGCGACCGTGCGATTAGGGAGCCCGGGCGGGCTGTGCCCCGGCCGAGGCGGGCTAGAAGGGACCTGGGCCAGGTAGAGTGGGGGGACTTACCGAGCACGGTGCGGCGGGCGGCGCCCCCGGGCGGACGGGGCCGGA